CCCTCCATAGCAGGCAAGGCATAAGCATATGTGGCTTTGAACCTTGCAACAGAGTAGTAATCATGCACATAATGCTGTATGTTCCCTGCTGGACCTGGGAGAGAAGTGATGAAAAACAAGGCATGAATGCATGGCAACCCAGTTATCTGCCATTGCCTACAACTGCAAGTTCTAGCTTCTAAATCCACTGGATATCTCCATTCCCTCTTCTCTTTATCCAAATATGATATCTCTGCTGTGGTACCCGAGCAAAGCGTCATGTTCATTTCCAAGCCTGTTGTCTTCTGCTTCAGTTCATTCATCACGGCAGGGATGATAATGTGGCCCATGAATTTTGCCTCGGCTATTCCTGCACGATAATGAAATTTCTGCATGTATTCTATCCTTATTCTGTCAAGCAAATCCACCACATAATGACCCTTTAGTTTTCGGATCGTTGAGTTGAAAGACTCTGCTAGATTATTGTGCACATAGTCAACTTTGCTCACTTCACTGAATTGGCTTCTAGCCCATAACTTGGAGTGGTGTGTTTCCAAGTATTCTTTCACTTTGGGATTCATGTATAACTGCCTCAAGTGGTAGTTGTGCTTCTTCACACTGCATGTCAAAGATGCTGGCCATAAATTGTCGGTATACACCTTTCCTTTGAATTTCTTCATGAAATTTGCAGCAAGGTGACGCATGCATTCCCTATGCTCTACTCCAGGGAACACATTGTCCACGGCCACTTCTAAACCTTTGCAGGCATCTGTATGAATGACCAACCCATTGGGATGTGCAATAGCCCGGCGGAGATTATGCAAAAACCAAGTCCAGCTCTCCTCAGACTCTGTCTCTAGCACACCATAGGCAACTGGAAATACAAAACTATGTGCATCAACTGCACAAGCTGCTACTAACTGTCCTTTAAACCTTCCTGTGAGAAAAGTGGCATCAATAGCCAAATAAGGCCTGCAGCCTACCAAAAAACCCCGGCGACAAGCCTCAAAGCAGACAAAAACCCTTCTAAAACATTCCTTGGTCTTTGTCACTCCCCTGAATGTGTACTCCACGGTGTGGTGATCAATATCTACAATACTACCTGGGCTTGTCCTCTCCACTTCACCTTTGAATGAATACAACAATTGAAAACTTTCCTGCCAGTTACCATAAATAGAATCCATAGCATGTTGTTTACCATTGAACAACCTCATGTATGGTAAATCTATCTTGAACTTATCTTTGATGTTCTTCTGCAATTCCTTTGGACCCACTTGCTGGTTTTCTTTCACCCACTTTTTTACTTCTTCTGCCACCCATCTTGACTTGGCTCTACTGATTGTATCCTTCCTAAGGGTTGATTCCTGACATGTGTGCTTAAAAGGATTCACTTTGACCTGAACATTAGTGCTATTCCGCATTTTAGCTGCAAGCAGCCTCCATGGACAACCCTCAGTCGGACAGTGCACTCTGTAACGTACTTGATCGCTCTTGTCAACTTTGAAAGTGCGTTCTACCTTGATGCAGTATGTCACAAGTGCATTTCTACACTCATTCATGGATGCAAAAACTGTACCTTCTTCCATTTGAGGGTTCAAAGGGTCCCATTGAACAGCTGCAAGGTCTTCGTCCTCACCCATCGCGTCATCATCCACACAGACTGCATTGTGAGCCTCATCTTGGTTTTCAGCCCTAGGTGCCCGTCGTAAATTCTGAATAACATCAGAATATAACTTCTCTTCATCAACCCCAGAATTGTAGCCATCAGGCTCCACTTCAAGGGGGACCCTACTGCTGTTGCCCACACTTGTCGAGCCATCACGTCGCCGTGCACCAACTGAACTGTTCTGGCTAGAGATGCCATTACGACGACTTGATTCTCCCCGAGATGTTGCACCCGCCATCCTAGGTCCAAATGCCTGCTCAAGCACATCAACTTGCAGCCTCACATGGAAATTATCTTTCTCTTTATGCCTAACAAACATGGTAGCTAGCTCTTCATCATTACTAACTGTCACCCAATTCTTTCCCCCATCATAGTATTTGTAAACCACTTCATCAAGCAAACCCCAAGGATATTGGCTACAAATTACCTCCTCAAATTGTCTGAAACTCCAATTACTAGCCATTGGCAACCGATAATCAAAACCACCTTGGTATTTCTTCTTATCCTTTGCATCGAACATGTACCGGTCCCTTCTAATGTGCACCATGAAAGCAAACCGCAACTCCATCCTAACCGGCGAAAAACAGAGACGCAATCAGCACACTAATTGGGCAAACCTACTCGAATCGAGTGTTCAAATGCACAACTAAGCTCAATCTAAACAAGAGGCGAGACTTACCCCTCGGGAACCCAGTCGTGGACGCGGCGGATCTCCGGCCCGATGCCTGCCTCGCCAAATACTCCGGGGTCGCCGCTGCTCTCCATTTCGCCCTAGGGTTCTTCCTCCTAGTTCAAATAGCTCCAGCAGCCCCCCACCTTTGAGCGCTCCGGCCGGGCGCACGGAAGGAGGCCGCGCCGCGGGTCGAGCAGGTGGCGGGCGCCCCACCCGTGGCGTCGCAGGAAGGTGGTGGGCGTCACAATGAGCCGTGGAGCGTAGGCGCAGGGAGGTAGCTGCGGAGCAGGGCGTGCAGCTGGTGGCGGGGCAGGTGCTGGCCGCGGCGCAGGTGGCGGCGGCGGCGGCGCACGACAGCCGGCCGGGCGGATGGGTGTGAGCTAGAATGATTTGGGGATTTAGTTGCAGGGGCCTACATGTCAGCTCCGGACCCACGTCCACGCGGTCCCACGTGTAAGCTCCGGACCCACAACTACTAACGCCGGCGGACGGAATTGACTCAAATATGGCCGTTTGGCCTCGTCGTAGTTGCTGTGCACGGACTAGGGGCAAAACTGAGGACAATTTGCATCTGAGGGCAAAACTGAGCACGACACCACTGAGGGCAAAAGGATAATTAACCCATTATTGGAACCGCTCTCTTACACGGATGGATGGAGGTAGAAGGAGGAGCACACAGTACACTGAAGTTTCACCCGGTTTCGCAGCCGCGTTACCATTCCCAGAGTACTAACTGAATTTACAAACAGTCATGACCGTGCTTTGTAGTCCTACAGCAGAGTAGCGCCCACGCACACATGACCCAACCATGGCCAGTAATCCATGCATGCATAACTAATCCACCCATGCACTAAAAAACTTACTTGACCGGCCCATGCAAGTACGTAGCTTATCCATCCGTCGCATGCACGGACTAATCAACAATGTATGCACTGACTACTACCACTACGTCACACACATACGCACACCTTCGCCATGTCCCCGCTGCGCCCCGCGCGTCCCGCCCGTCCCGCGCATCACCGACACGCCCGACGAACCCGACAAGCCCGACGGCACAAGTGTGTCCCGTCCGTCCCGCGTGCACCCGACGCGCCCGACTACACATGTCATGGCTTATTCCAACACACACCCCCTAAGCCACGGCTTAGAGGAGTTCGTCGTCGTCGACGTTGGCACCGGCCAACAGAACCTGCTCCGCCGCCGGTCCTTTCCGCAGCTGCGGGCACTCGCACCGGAAGTGCCCGTGCTCCCCGCACTTGTAGCAGCGCCTGCGCCTGTTGCCGCCGTGCTATACTGCAAAACCGTCTCTCTGACAGTATGATATAGTTGAGCCACACGCCAACAGTTCGGACAAATTTGCATTTGAGGAATATATAACCCCCATCTCGACGGGACGCGCGTCGATCCCTATGTTGCATGGAGCTGAGCATCTTCTATTCGCTGGGATCAAGCATTTCCTCTGCATGGGCTTCCAATTGCTCGGAAATTCTCAGCTATATGGGGGCCTTTGATGAGCAAAAAGAATTGATCAAGAAATTGTAAACTTTCGCATAATTGATGGTAAAAGAACGAGAGTTCGTGCTATTGTCTATAAAACTTTTCAGTGCCTAGCTCGAACTGAACTGAACGTCGACATACGTCCGTACATGGCACAGGCCACAGAGTGTCAAGATAAACTCCCGCTGATGGATGTTCAGTCTAAGGGGGATGCTATGGTGAGTGAATCTCAACAAAGATATAGTCAGTTAGTTATACAAGACCCTAGTACAAAGAGCCTAACTGTTCGTGAAGAAGATTCAGGCATATAAGAGTTAGCTAGCTAACACATTTCCAGATGCCCTAAAGCATCACATACAGGAAAGCTATGATTTTTAAGATGATACGTACTTGCATCCCCCACAAACTGCAGAAAGTCTGATGCTGTCAATGACAGGAAAGCTAGCTAGCCCGGGAGTTCGCCATCAGTCTGCACTTTGTAGGTGTCAGGACTCAGGACAGATTGTCACGAAGTTAGTGCTACCTGAACATGCTTGTTTAGCTCAACCCAGTTAGTGCTTTACTGTTAACGCACCTTGCTTAACACCACCACTATCTTCTGGAATGGAGCTCATACACAGATATCATGTATGAATAACAATCCGAGTATCATCTGAGTAGCAGCAACAAATACGAACTTGCATTCTGAAAGCACGACCTATTACAGTATTAGAGAATTCACCTATTCTTGCAGATAATATCCCTAGTTCTATCAAGCACAAGAAGGCAGGGTAGCATAGCATACAAACAAATAGAAATGTCAGTAATGATCCAATCAGGTTGAAAGATCCAGTCTCCCCTTATTCTAAGTACCTGGTGATCTTCAAAAAAACTCGACCAGTGCTTCCCATCTCAGTGAAAATTTTGGTCTTCACATATTTCATCACCCCTGTGTTTATAGTGATTGGCCAAGGAGTAAGCTGATCCACATTGCCGACAGTTCGGCGTCAGTCATCATCAAAATGATCATTTTGCGCTCCTGCAAGAATTCAGCACATGGTACACCGACGTAAAATTCAGAATGGAATTGCACGCCAATACAGGTTGAAAAAGCAACTCTTATGCGCATTTTTGAATCGGTCCGGTCTGAACAGAGCATACACCTCTGCTTGCTACAAAAACTCTTGCTTCCGCTTCTCAAAAAGCTCACGCTTTTACAGCATCTTCCGCGGCCAGCCGCTCGTCCTCAGTGGTAAGTCCCTCGATCAGTGAAATATATGTACTGTCATCAGGGGTGATGCCATTGCCCACCATTTCTTTCACCAGCTCCTCTGCATCCTCTCCTTGGCCATTCTTGCAGAGCCCTTGTATCATTGCATTATATGTCATAACTGTTGGGTTGAATCCCTTGTCTATCATCTCATCCCGAACCTTCAGAGCATCCTTGATGTCACCCTTCATGCTGTAGCCGCTGATCAGGGTGTTGTAACTGACAAGGTCTGGCTTGATACCTCTCTTTGTCATTTTGTCAATGAGCCCACGCGCTTCATCAAGACGCCCCAGCAAGCACAGCCCCCTCATCAGAGTATTGTATGTCACGTCATCTGGTGTGATCCTCTTCTTCTCCATTTCTCCCATGATCTCAAATGCCCGGTCCATATCTCCACCGGTGCAGTGGCTATTGATCAGGGCATTGTACATGACAAGGTCAGGCCTGATGCCTCTCCTCACAGCCTCATTGAACAGACTATCAGCCTCCTGGACCATCCCCTTCTTGGACAAGGCATATATCAAAGACGTATAGGTCACCACGGTCGTACGAATCCCTTTCGCAGCCATATGTTCAAACATCTTCATTGCTTTCTTCTCCTTGCCCTCCTTGCAGTAACCGTTGATCAATATATTGTACGTGAACGCATCTGGTGCAAGCCCCTTGTCACCCATCTCCTCAACCAATGCATGCGCCTCCGCAGCACGCCCTTCCATGAACAACGCGTGCACAAACAAATTGTATGTCGCGACTGTCATGGAAACCCCCCTCGCTACCATTTCTTCCCGGCAACGCAGCGCGGCCTCCAGATTTCCCCGGTCACAGTATGCGCCTATCAGCGCGTTGTACATCATCGGATTTGGCTCCACCTCTCCCTTAGCCAGCATTTCGTCGAACACCTTGGCTGCTTCCTCGACCTTGCCGACCTTGCACCATCCGGAGATAACCGTGGCGTAGGTGTACTTGTCGGGCGGAATACCGCTCCGCTCCCGCATCTCCCGCATGATATCCAGCCCCGCCTGGACGCGGCCGCGGGCGCAGAACCCGGCGATGATGGTGTTGTAGGTGACGGCGTTGGGGCCGGGCATCTGTCGGAGGAGCTCCAGCGCGCGGGCGGGCTTGCCGGAGGAGCAGAGGTGGCGCAACATGATGTTGAAGGTGGTGGCGGAGAGCGGGAGGCGGAGGCGGAAGATATCGGCGAAGAGGACGAAGGCGGGGGCGGAGGGGAGGGAGGAGAGGAGCGGGTGGAGCGTGGCGGTGGGGATGGGGAGGGAGAGCGACTTGAGCCGCGAGTAGAGGCTGAGCGAGGTGGTGTGCGGGCGGCCGGCGATGGAGGCGGTGAGGAGCAGGTGGGGCAGCGACGGGGTGGCGGAGAGGTGCGGCAGCACGGCGAGCGGGGAGAGCGCCGGGTCGGCGGACAGCGCCGACTTGAAGAGCGCGAGCGCCGCGGCCGGAGTGGGCGCCGCGCGGGCGGCCGCCGCGACGGCCGCGGGGGAGGTGGGCGGCGCCATGGAGACGGAGGTCGCTGCTAATCTGTTTCTCTTTTTTGATTTAGTTGCTGCTAACAGTAATGACTAGAAGCCTAGGCGGGTTTGCGAGGTTTTGTTTGCGGAGCCCGTTCAGAATACAAAACAGCAGCACTCTGAACTCTGAAGGGCACGCCAAGCTGCGATAAAATTCAGAACGGGCGACATTTTCGATAAAAGGCGCTTTTATTAATTCATTATGTAGTATCAAGTGGATACAACATAATAAGTGACACCCGGTCTCTGCATAGCTAAGATGCACACAGTCTTAACAAAAAGAAGTATATATAAAAAACGACAAGTTGGCAACAGTAAAGCCATATGAGTCCGAAACGGTAAATAACCTGCATAAAAGAAGAGGTTTTGCCATTAAAAACACAATCATTTCTACATAGGCAAAGCGACCATAATAAGGCAGCCACTCCCATCCGTATTAGCGTACTAAAAGTATTTGGTATTCCATCAAGCCAGTGACCATATATATTGGCAACACTTGTTGGCGGATACAAATTGGACACTATTTGGATGACTGACCATATAGAACGCGCGAACTTGCACTGAAAGAAGAGGTGTTTAATTATCTCGTCATGAGTACAAAAGCTACACTTCTTACTTCCTTGCCAGTTGCGTCGAGCGAGGTTGTCTTTTGTTAGCATAACTCCTCTTCGAAGATACCACATGAAAATCTTATTTTTTTGTGACATCTTTGATTTTCATATTAGTTTATTATTATCCAATGAAACCTCTTAGTGCGAGAGTGCACGGTACATAGTCAACTGTGTAGGATCCAGATGTAGTGAGATTCCAGCAAAACACATCCCTCCCTTGTGTCAAGTTAACCGAATCCAAACGGGATAGAAGATGTTGCCATGACGCAAGGCGGAGGCCAATCAAATCCCTCCTAAATGATACATTCGACGGGGAGGAGCTGAGCACGTGTGCAAGAGTATCATTCTTATCGCGTACAATTCGGTACAAGGCTGGATACTGTTCCTGAAGAGTGGTATTTCCTATCCACCTGTCCTTTCAGAAACGTATCTCGGAGCCGTCCTTTATCGTGAATGATCCAAAGCGGAATAGATGTTTTTTACCGCCATCAGGCCAGACCAAAAATGTGAGTCACCAGGTTTTCAATATGCCTGGGACAACGCTTTTTGGCCTACGTACTTATTGCGCAACAGGGTTTGCCAAACACCATCCTCGGTAAGTAGCTTGAACAACCATTTACTGAGCAAGGCATCATTTTTAACCTGGAGGTCCTGAACACCTAAACCTCCCTTGTCTTTTGATCGACAAACCACACTCCATTTGATTAGCCTATACTTTTTATTTTCACTATCTCCTTGCCAAAAGAATCTGGATATGAAGTAATCTAGTCTTTGCAGAACCCCTTTGGGAGTTTGAAAAAATGAGAGCATGTAGAGAACCATGTTTGTGAGAACAGAATTGATTAAAACTAGTCGCCCTCCAACGGAGAGCAACTTGCCTTTCCAACTGCTCAACCGTTTCTTCAATCGCTCTTCAACATGTTTCCACTCCGCATTAGTGAGACGCCGATAATGAATCGGAATTCCCAAATATTTAACCGGGAATTGGCCTTGTGCACAACCGAACAAGTCAGGATATTGTGCAACCACCTCCTTGGCTTCTTCGAAACAGAACAATTCACTTTTATGGAAGTTAATTTTCAGACCTGACATTTGCTCAAAAGCTGAAAGCAATAGTTTCATATTTTTAGCCTTATCTAGGTCATGTTCCATAAAAAGAATTGTATCATCGGCATATTGCAAGATAGAGAGTCTGCCATCCAGAAGATGTGGCACTACTCCTGCAATTTGACCGTCCTGTTTGGCGCGTTTGATCAAAGTAGCCAACATGTCAGCAACAATGTTAAATAACATTGGAGACACTGGGTCACCCTGCCGTCATCCCTTTTTAGTTTGGAAGTAATGACCTACATCATCATTGACTTTTATAGCCACACTACCTCTAGTAATGAAATTTTGGACCCATTCGTGCCATTTATCTGAGAAACCTTTCATTCTTAGGGTCTGTTGGAGAAATGACCATTTGACTTTGTCGTATGCCTTTTCAAAGTCGATTTTAAATACTACTCCACTCATGTTCTTCCGGTGTATCTCGTGGACGGTCTCGTGAAGGATTACTACTCCATCGAGTATATTTCGTCCTTGCATGAAAGCCGTTTGGGATGGCTGAACAACATGATCGGCGACCGTGTTGAACTTATTAGTCGCAACTTTGGTGAAGATTTTGAAGTTGACAATAAGGAGGCAGATCGATTTGAACTGTTGAATCTGTTCAGCCTCCTTAGTCTTTGGCAACAAAACAATCTCGCCAAAATTAAGCCAAGATAGGTCTAGTTGGACGGCATGAAAAAATGAACAACTCCATTAGGTCAGTCTTGATGACATCCTAGAAGTTCTGATAGAACTCCGCGGGGAAACCATCAGGGCCTGGAGCTTTGTTATGTTCTATTTGGAACACCGCAGCTCGCACCTCCTCTTCAGAGAAAGGTGCCGTCAGGATATCATTCTCTTCTTCTGTGACTTGTGGAATGTCATCTGTTCGGGTCTCATCTAGAGTGAAGTTCCCTTCCTCTGGAGCTCCAAACAGACACTTGTAGTATTTGTTTATATAATGCTTGAGCTCTGCCTGACCCTTGATCCGTCCCTCATCCTGTTGGAGGCTAAAAATACACTTCATCCTATGCCGCCCATTGGCGACCATTTGGAAATATCGTGTATTGTTGTCTCCCTCCAAGATGAATTGGGCACCTGATCTTTGATACCACTTGATTTCCTCTTCTCGCAATAGACGTGCAATCTGCTCATCGGATTGATTTTTCATATCAATCTCCTGTTGAGACAAAATGCGAGTCTCTGCTATTTTGTTGAGGTCATCTATAATAGTGGAAAGGCGTTGCTTTTCTTTTTTATACATACCACTTGTGTGTTTGGCCCATCCAGTTAGGAACTGCCTCATGGCTCGAATTTTGAAGTACCATCTTTGAATCAGTGTGCGACCAACGACAGGCCTCTCCCATAAATTCTTAACTATATCCGCAAACCATCCCAATTCAAATTTGAATGGACGGCGAACAGTGGGAGAGCCAGTAGAGTTAGAATCAAGAATGACAGGTGCATGGTTCGAAAGTGACTCAATATGCTCTTGGGTATGCACTATTACCATAGGGAATTTTAATTCCCACTCGGTATCCATGAGTACCCGATCGAGTTTCTCGTATGTCGGCACCGGACGGTTGTTGGCCCAAGTGAATTGTCGCCCCGACATACTAGCTTCTCGAAGATTCAAACTGTCAATTACAACGTTGAATAAGAAAGGCTAGTGTGTGTCAAAACGATCATTATTTTTCTCTTCCTGGTATCTAAGGATATTGAAGTCACCTCCAATAAGCATTGGATGGGGGTTATCCTTAGCCAAGTTCACCAATTCCCGAAGGAAAGTAGATTTATTCTCATCTTGGGCAGCCCCATAGACTGCGACCAGGCTCCATGTATAATTGTCAGCTCTATTTCATAGGTGGAATTTGATGTGAAATTCACCAACCGAAAAAGCTAACAAGTCCATGGTTGTGGTCTGTATCCCAAGTAAGATTCCTCCAGACCTTCCACGTGGTGGTAAGTGTCGGGGAACGCAATAATTTCAAAAAAATTCCTACGCACACATAAGATCCATCTAGGTGATGCATAGCAACGAGAGGGGAGAGTGTTGTCCACGTACCCTCGTAGACCGAAAGCGGAAGCGTTATGACAACGCGGTTGATGTAGTCGTACATCTTCACGATCCGACCGATCCTAGCACCAAAGGTACGGCACCTCCGCGATCTACACACGTTCAGCTCAGTGACGTCCCACGAACTCTAGATCCAGCTTAGGTCGAGAGAGAGTTTCGTCAGCACAACAGCGCGATGACGGTGATGATGAAGTTACCGACGCAGTGCTTCGCCTAAGCTGTACAACGATATGACCGAGGTGGAATCTGTGGAGGGGGGCACCGCACACGGCTAAACAATCAACTTGTGTCCCTATGGGGTGCCCCCTCCCCCGTATATAAAGGAGTGGAAGAGGGGGAGGGCTGGCCCTCTCATGCCGCGCCCAAGGGGGGAGTCCTACTCCTGGTGGGAGTAGGATTCCCCTTTCCCTTGTTGGAGTAGGAGAGGAAGGAAGAGGGAGAGATAGGGAAGGAAAGGGGGGCGCCCCCCTACCCAATTCGGATTGGGCTTGGGGGGCGCCCTCCACCTTGGCTGCCTCCTCCTCTCTCCCACTAAGGCCCAATAACGCCCATACACTCCGGGGGGGGGGGGTTCGGTAACCCCCCGGTACTATGGTAAATGCCCGAACTCACCTACCATTCTGATGTCCAAACATAGCCTTCCAATATATCAATATTTATGTCTCGACCATTTCGAGACTCCTCGTCATGTCCGTGATCATATCCGGGACTCCGAACTACCTTCTGTACATCAAAACACATAAACTCATAATACCGATCGTTACCGAACGTTAAGCGTGCAGACCCTATGGGTTCGAGAACTATGTAGACATGACCGAGACTCACTTCTGGTCAATAACCAATAGCGGAACCTGGATGCTCATATTGGTTCCTACATATTCTATGAAGATCTTTATCGGTCAAACCGCATAACAATATACGTTGTTCCCTTTGTCATCGGTATGTTACTTGCCTGAGATTCGATAGTCGCTATCTCAATACCTAGTTCAATCTCGTTACCGGCAAGTCTCTTTACTCAATCCGTAATGCATCATACCGCAACCATCTCATTAGTAACATTGCTTGCAAGGCTTATAGTGATGTGCATTACTGAGAGGGCCCATAGATACCTCTCCGATAAACGGAGTGACAAATCGTAATCTCGATCTATGCCAACTCAACAAACACCATCGGAGACACCTGTAGAGCATCTTTATAGTCACCCAGTTATG